CGTGGGGTACACGATGACTGCACGTGGGGTACACTCAGACTGAAGCAACGATTCCCTGTGTTTATTCGTGGCCTCTCTAGCATGCATGTCTCCGGGGACTTCCTGGCGTGTCTCTTTGTGCACGACACCACCACGGAACATGCGAGGGAAGGCAGAGAGGCAGTGCCACATGAAGCCATCGGAATGGGATACTATTGTTTCTCACGGATCCTCCATTTGGGTCTAACCCAGTGGTCCCCAAAGGGGGGGCTGCTGCCTTTGGGGGGGCTGCAACATTGCAGAGGGCTGAAAAGCAGACACCTGCACTCTTGTCTTGGACTATGGGCTACAGTATGAACGTGCTTAATGGCGGGGGACTGTGGGGAGGGAGGGGCAATTTTTTCTTTCCTGAAAAGGGGGATGTGGCCAAATACATGCGGGACCCTATAGAGCCCTGGCGGCATAGAGATTATGCACAGGCTGCTAACCACAGGTCAGCAGTTCGAAACCACCAGTCACTCCTCAGGAGAGAGACGAGGCTGTCTGCTCCCGTGCCGAGTTACGGATCTGGCCTATCCTGGAGGAGGGCGATGGGTTGACATCCCTCGATGGCAGGGAGGTTGCGTCTGTCAGGCCCTGGTGGTGCGGTGGGCTCTGCGTTGGGCTGCTGATCTCAGGGTCAGCAGTTCAAAACCACCAGCTGTTCCAAGGAGGAACGAGGAGGCTGTCTGCTCCCATGGAGACGCACAGCCTCAGACACCCACAGAGGCATCTCTATTCTGCTCGGCGGGGTTGCTGTGAGGCAGCATCTACTCGATGGCAGTCTCTCCTCTGGGTGAGTTTGGTCTCTCTGAGCCTTTCCTGAGGAATGTATGGTCTTCAGTTGCCATCACGTCACAATGAAATTCTGACAGCCCCGAGGGACTCAAATCTTGTCCCTTTGAGCCATGGGAGCTGCTGACAACAAGGTCAGTGGTTCGCGCCCACTGGCTGCTCTGTGGGGGGGGGGGGGGAGGTTGTCTACTCTGCAAAGATTTCAATGTCCTGCTCTGCCTGCAGGGTGGTGGCCATTGTGCTTTTCTGAGTTTTGAGTTTGTGGAGCACAGAAGTTTGAAGGGGTGAGATCGGAGCTGCGGGTGGGTGGGGTAGGGCTTTCCCCAGGGCCGTCTCCTGGACGCCCCCTGCTCCCCGGACCTGTGAGGAGGCAGGTGCACGGCCCCTACTCCACCTTCCTTTCTTTTCTCCCAGAGGCTGTTGTTCTGCAGCATCTCCTGAAACGCCGCAGCCAGCTCCTGAGCCCCCCCACCCCTTCACGCACATCTCTCTCCCACAAGAAGTCCACACCAGACAGTCTGAGCCCTCCGCCTTAAGTGTAACTGGCCCGAAGGGATCAGGTATCAGGCATCAAAGAACAAAAAATCGTATCACTGTGAATGAGGGGGAGTGCAGAGTGGGGACCCAAAGCCCATCTGTAGGCAACTGGACATCCCCTTACAGAAAGGTTCCAGGGTAGAGAAGAGCCAGTCAGGGTGCAGTGTAGCAACGATGAAACATACAGCTTTCTTCTAGTTACTAAATGCTTCCTATCCACTATCATGATCCCAACTCTACCTTACAAATCTGGCTAGACCAGAGGATGTACACTGGTACAGATAGGAACTGGAAACACAGGGAATCCAGGATCAGTGATCCCTTCAGGACCAGTGCTAAGAGTGGCGATACCAGGATAGTGGAGGGAGGGTGGGGTGGAAATGGGGAACCGATGACAAGGATCTACATATAACCTCCTCCCTGAGGGACGGACAACAGAAAAGTGGGTGAAGGGAGACATCGGACAGGGCAAGATATGACAAAATAAGAATAATTTATAAGTTATCAAGGGTTCAAGAGGGAGTGGGGAGTGGACAGGGAGGGGGGGAAATGAGGAGCTGATACCAGGGGCTAAGTGGAGAGCAAATGTTTTGAGAATGATGAGGGCAATGAATGTACAAATGTACTTTACACAATTGATGTGTGTATGGATTGTGATAAGAGTTGTATGAGCCCCTAATAAAATGATTAAAAAAATTAAAAAGTGCAACTGGCCCAGGGGGTCCCCTCAGACTCCAGTTTGGCCTGGACCTTTGTGTGACGCTCCTCCAAGGAGACGGAGGAGGGGTCCTGGGGGTCACGCACTGGGCTGCTAGCCAAGCGCAGGGCCAGCAGTTGGAGCCTGCTGGCCTCTCTGGGGGAGAAAGATGCGGCCGCTTCTTGTTCAGGCCCCGCAGAATGGCTGGGGCAGTGTTGAGCCCTGGCAGCTGGTTTGCTTTGCTGAGCGAGATGCACGCAGGCGTGTGACCGAGCGCACCTGCCGGCAGCGGCCACTGGCAGAACTGGCCATCTCAGCCCACGTGGCTGAGCCTGTGACCCTGCGGGCTGCGCCCACGCCGCATAACGGTGGTACCTCGATTGTCGAGCGGCTCCAAGCTCGAACTTTCCAGACCTCTACAGGGGGTTCCACCCTTGTCACGGATGTGGGATGGGTGATGAGACCCCCTCAAAGGCCATGGAGTCGATGTCGGTGCAGGGTGACCCTCTGGCACGGAGCAGAGCCACCCTGTGGGTCCCTGAGGGTGCAGCTCTTACTGGAGCAGAAAACCTTCTCTTTCTGCCTCCCACCAGCTGGTGGTTTTGAACTGCCGACCTTGTGATTGGCAGCCCAATGCATAACCACTATGCCACGAGGGCTCCTAACAAAGGGGGTATCCTACCGGGCAGCATATAACCGCCCTGAGGCATTTGGGGTGGCTGGGCGCTTCCCCCCCCACCCCCCCACACCTGACTTGCAGCTGAGCACTTAACCACTGCACCATCCATGGTCCTCCCCATAAAGGCCTGAGGAAAGCTGTCCATGCAGCCCATCTTACAGAGGGGAGACTGAGGCTTGGGGAGGCGGTGTGTGTCCACAGGCTGTGATTTGAGAGGGTGGCGGGCCGCCACAGTCAATGGCTGCACACACAGGCACCCTGAGCGCCTTGCTCAGGCCGCTGACGGGAGAGGAGTCTGAAGTCTGCAGGGCCAGCCCTCAGAACGCTGCCCCCACTGTGCGCCCCGCCATCCCATCCTCAGACTGTGTGAGGCATGTACTTAAGACTGTGTGAGGGATATACTTAAGACTGTGTGTGGGATAAACTCAGACTAACTGT